TCTGAGGTTATCTCCCTGGCCCCATCTCTTCGTAGTTTTTTGAGACAGGGTCTCCCATGCAGTTCGGCCAACCTTAGCCTCCTGGCGAGCCTCCCACCTCCGCCTCCCCAGTGCTGGGATTATAGGTGTGTGCTGCCACGCACGGCCTGGAAAGGTGCATTTGCAAGCGTCCTACGTATATTAAGTTGTGTGATCCTCCCAGCAGCTCCCCGACTGTCCCTGTTCAGCAGATGAGGAAACTGAGGCACATGGCCCTTGAACAGCCTGCCTAACCCACTTATGGAGCCGCCTGATGGGGCTAGCCGCTGGGCATAAGGCCTTGACCTCTGCCTTGCGCTGCATGTCGGCTCCTGGATGCACAGGGCTGTGACAAAAAGGATTTAGGGGCACTGTGGACACTGGGTTGGGGAGAGGTGTCCCTGTCAGTGTGGAGGGATGGGCGACGGCACAAGGGGCTGGATGCCCGATTTGCAGCCCTGGGCAGCATCTGCCTGCCCTTCTCTGCCGGAGTTGCTGAGAGAAATGATGTCCCGCTGTCCCTTCAGCAGGGCCCAGGTCACCACTGAATGTCCAAGGACTAGCCAAGGCCCGGTGTTCCCTGGTGCCCTGCTGTCCCTGCATGGAGGATGCCAGGCTAACTCAGGGCCAGAGCCTCGATGGCCCTCGCTGTCTCCTAAGGGTGGCCCTGGGTCCCGGTGGCTTCAACTGGACGCACTCTGCCAACAAGCCAGTCTCACTGCTGGGAAGAATGTTTTGTAGTAAACCTGAACCCTGGCCTAAACCTGGCCCCCAGGCAGGGGACAAAAAAGGACTCAAGAGTTCTGACTTTTCACACCTGCTTTGCAAGACAGCCAGGAGAAAAAATGGCTACTACCCAAGATGTGACCAGAACCTAGGATGGAGCTCCCCTGGGGGTCCAAAGTCTCTGAGGGCCCCGCCCCTCCGGGCTCTGCCAAGGAGGGGCGGCATCTAATGACAGCCTCTGCCTCCACCCCAGGGCTCCAGGCAGGGCGGAGTCCCTGAGGTCACCAGGCTCCCTGGACATCCCTGTCTCTCAAGTGCATCCTCCTATTTTTCCTGATTATTTTTCTTTATTTTGGACTCAGTTGAAATAGCATGCATTGTACCGGCTCCTACAGTTGAATGTCATTTATTTCCTTCTGATACTTTTCTTGGGTGGTGGGGCCTCCTGCACGCCCCCACTGAGCTCCACACACTCACATGCATCCTCTCCCCACATTTCCTCCTCCTCCATGGAAGTTAGAAATCAAGAAATGTGAAGAAACATAACTTGTGTGAATTAGGCATGGAGGCTGAGGCAAGCGGGTCACTTCGAGTCGGAAGTCAGCCTCGGCTACACCGTAAGTTCAAGGCCTGCCTGAGCTATGGGGGGCGAGGGGGGCCCCGCACAGGACCCTGTGTCAAAAGAACTAAAAACAACTTTTAAAGGTTCTGGCCAGAGTAGCCTCAAGCTCCATTTCTCGTTCCGGGTCATTCACGGAAGAAGCACGGAGTCATAAAAACTTTCTTCCTGGTCACAGAGGCAGAGCGGAAGGAGACTCTGTGCCCTGCCAGGGGCCTGTGTTTGGTGACAGTGATCCAGGCCACAGCTCAGCCGGGCCAAGGACTGCACAGGGCCCAGGAGCCACAGGCCACTGCCCCATGACTCACCATCACCACCACCTCCTGGCTGTCCCCGTCCTGTCCCAGGGACCGCAGACACAGTCTGTGTCCAGCACCAAAGCCCCATGCTACACTTTCACTTTTTAAAAACTAAGCCATGAGTCAGTGTCACACACATGGGGCTCAGCGCTGTGGCCATCCTGGAGGGGTAGTCCCACTCTGTCTTGCTCACGAGGATCCTCCTGCCCGAGCCTCCTAGAGCTGGGATGACAGGCGTGCGCCACCACGCCCAGCCTGCTGTGTCTTTCCTGTAAATAAGGCTTTCAGTCTAAACATTCATTGTATTTTCCAATCACCCCTGTATAAGTGTACTGAAATGTCACACTGTACTCTGTATTGTACTATAAATAGACACAATTAGTATTGTGCCAGGTACAAAGCAATTTCTTTTTTTATGAAGTTTGTCTCTAGCGCCTTCCCCATAGACAGACCCGGCAGCCACAGAGGCATTCTGGAGGAAGCTAGGGCACAGCCGGAAGCACAGCTAGGTCCCTGTAGGAGTCCATGTCAGGAAACCCAGATCCAGCCAAGGAAATCCCAGTGGCGGTGCCAGCTCAGTCGGAACTTAGAAGCCCAGCTCCCTCAGGCCTGCCAGGTCTCCGGAGCCAGCACGGGCTTCACTTTTCCGCAAGTCAGGCATCCAGGGGACCCTGGCGCTATGACCCCAAAGAGGTCACACAGCTACTTCTCTGCGCTCCCGACTAGACGACTAGAGTCGCCCCACCTCGAATACACCCCCGCGTTCAGCACTACTGAGCAGATCCAGCGTCACACATGGGCCAGGCTTGTGAGGAGCCCCAGACCTAGCCAGTGACAGCATGAGGCGGGCTCGGCAGCCCAGTTTCCACCCCCTCCTGCACCCCCAGGACAGCTCAGTCTCAAGGCCCACAGGAGCCTGAGCACTGGGACTTCCTGCCATGTGGCCAGCTAGGAAGAGGGGGGCAGGCAGGCAGACGGACACATGGACAGCCAGACCGACCGACAGACAGCAATGCCAGTGCAGGTGGGGTGAGCCTGCCTTGGAGTGTCTCGTTCCAAAGGCCCATCAGCCCTGCCGCTCTCACAACAGGGGGCGCTTGGCTGGGGACAAGCGTGCATGCGAGGAGTGCACGTGACTACCCACGCATCCTGGGGCGTTTGGATTTTCTATGCACAAGCACAAGATAGTATTAAAGGAAAGACCCTGAGAGGGTAAATCCACAGGGACAAAATACAAACGTCACCGCAGGGGACAACAGGAAGTGTGGGAACTCCCTCTGCGGTGGCTGTGAATGCTTTAGTATACACAGTGAACTGCTTCTTTGAAGCACTTGATTTTACTACATACATTTTACTTCTAATTTTTTTTTTTTTACTTTTTTTTGGGAGACAGTTGATTCATAGCCCAGGTTGAACTTGAACTTGAGGCATTCCTCCTGTCTCAGCTCCCCGAGTGCTGGAGTTATAGGCATGAGTCAGCATGCCCAGCTCCTTCAATTTTTGTAATAAATAAATGCACAAGGGCTGGAGGTGAGCCCAGTGGTCGAGCCCCTGCCTAGCACACAGGGGTCCTGGGCTCTACCCCAAGGAATTGCAAAAATGAATGAATGAACCCAATAGGTTTTCCCAGAAGTCTGTGTGCAAAAGGCAGCGCCTCTGGGCACGCTGCCCTCTAGGCCTGAACACCCTCTTCCCGAAAGCCATGCCACCCTCCTGCCAGGCTTTCCCCACATGCCACCTCCTGGGCACCGCAGATCCCATGACTCCAAGATGCCAATCTCCCTGCCCGCCCTGCACCCTCCCTGGCCCTGCTGCCAGCTCTGCCGGTGGCCTCCTGCGCTATCTTCTCAGCAAGGCTGAGGCTCCTGTCCATCTCGCTCCCCATGGACGACCCTTAGGTCCTAGCCCAGAGTATGGCCCACCACAGAGTGTGGGGCGAGGCACTGGGCGAGAGTCCCACAGAACTGCTGCCAAGGCGGCGCCACTCCCTGCACCGCAACTGGACCCTGAACCAAAAGGTGAAGGCGCCACGGGCTCTGCTGCCCAGAAGGGCAGACTGGCAGAGCAGAAGGCCAGCGCAGGGCACAGCAGCTCCTGGAAACTGCAATGCCAAGCAGCAAACAGCAGCCGGGACTTCTGATAGGTGGGGTGAGGGCCGCACCCCGAGTTCTCAGGAGCAAAACACAGCACCACTGAGGGTCACGTGACATCTGCTGCCCTAGAAGAGGGGGTCACGGCCTTCTGTACCTCTGCTCCTCTCCTTGTGGCAGAGCTGCCACCCGACCAGGGCCCAGGCCGGCAAGGGGGCAGCTGTGAGCCCAATAACCCAGAGTTTAAAATGTGCAAAATAAAAAAAAGAGCTTCAGACTCCTAATAACAGGCTCCCTTCCCAGGCATTCCTGGCTCCTGACGGCAGCAACAGGTACCTTCACGCGCCGCCAACCACCGCGCAGAGAAAAAGGCAGAGCCAGCAGTCTCAGAAGTCTGCGGTTTGAAAAAAAGAATAAAACAAAACCTGCAGGTCTGCGCAAAAGCAGCCTGAACTTGCACTGGATCTTGACCCTGCTGTGGGTGCCCTGGCAGGGTGCCGGGGGAGCACGGGCTGTGGGGGTCTCCCAGCGGGGATGGGCACTGGCCATCCCTGAACACAGCCCACCCCTCAGCTGTGCCTCCACCCAGGGCTCCCGCAACTAGAGGGACAAGTTTTTGCTTGTTTTTTGGTTTTTGAGACAGAGTCTCTCTCTGTAGCCCTGGCTGGGCTCAAACTGCTGACGACCGTCTGGCCTCAGCCTCCTGGTGCGCTGGGACCACAGGCAGGCGCCACCAAGGCCACCTGAGAATTTGCATTTCTAAGCAGATGCTGAGTGAGGGGTCACCCTGGAGAACCTTTGTCCCCGAGCAGCCAGCCTCCTGGGGACAGCTCACCTGCCTCAACTGCTAGGACACCCTGGGGACACTGAGGCAGGCCAAAAACATAAGCTGACCGCCTGGGAGCCCGTGGCCCTGAGCGAGCACTGAGAAGGCTCAAAGGTGGCAGCAGAGCCCTTGGAACTGCACCCAGAGCACCTCCTGCCTCCAAGAGCAGCCCGCCTGGCCGCGCTGGGTCGGCTTCTGACCAAGGGTGCTTCCAAGTTTCTGAACCAGAACATGCAGCTGAAAGGGAAGGAAGGAAGGAATGGGAGATGGGAGGAGGGAGGAAGGGAGGGAAAGAGGGAACGAAGGAAGGAGGAAGGAAAGGAGGACGGAAGGAAGGCAAGCAGGCCAGCCAGGCCCAGGCCGTGCATCAGCGACGGCCTGGCCTTCCTGTGAGGACCTAGCATCCGGCCTGGGCCACTCACCAAAGTAGTCGGCCCTGGGGTGGGCATCCATCTCCCGCTCCAGACGCTGCGTGAGGGCTTCCAACTTCAGCTCTGCAGTGGAGGGGCCAAGCTCAGGGCCAGGCAGCAGGGTCTGGCAGGGTAGCCTCACTCTGGGGGAGCCGGGCGCATCTGGGAGCCCAGGGCTCAGGCTGCCATCAGGGGACCAGCCAGCAGGACCCTCTTTACATGACAGCTCTGGGAGGGAGGACCTCCCCGGGTGGCCAGGGCCAGTGGTGCCAAGCTTGGGACCAGAGCCGGGGTCTGCACAGCCACGCTTCGGCACAGGGCTAGGAACGACCTTGTCAGTGGGTGAGGGTAATGGAGCAGAGCTGGAAAGGTAAGACTTGGGCCCGTCCTGGAACCACGGCTGGGGGTCTAAGGTGGGCTTGGCCAGCACGCCCGAAGCCTCACACCCCAGACCAGAGTTTGTTCTCAAAAGGACTCCCTGGCTGGGGACCGGGTGTGCAGACACTTGAAGACTCCTGGGCTGCGATGGGGCCCCATTCTCCAGGCTGGCAGACAGAAGGAGTGGGCTCACCCTCTGTGACGAGGCCGTGGACCACAGGCCTGCTGGCTTCTCGCTGCCGGGACCACCAACACTAACGTCCTGGCCACGCAGGCCACTGTCAAAGGGCAGCTGCACCTGGTGCAGGTGACGGTCCCCACTAGGTCTGGGCAATGAGAGGTCATTCCCAGCGGCAGGAGGCCACCTGCTCCCTGCACCCAGGCCTGTGCTGGGGGACGCACCTGGCTTCTCGCCCCAGATGGGACTTGTGGGAGACAGGTTATCGTAGTAGTCTCCGTGAGTGAGGCAGGACGGGTCCTCACAGGGGCCTGGCTGGTGGCCAGCAAACTTCTCCGAGCTCCCCAGGCCCTCCCTGGCCATGTGCTCCAGGCTGCCAGGCCTTGGCCCGGGGATGTAAGGCCCAGCCCTCTGCTCGGAGGCTGGGTGTACGGGCTGGCCAAGAGCCGAGGTGGTGGCCACCGCCGGGGCCACTGCAGAGGCCGCGAGAGGGGGCTTCGCCGCCCCATCAGCAGCAGCCAGCCTGGGGCCCAGGCGGACCCCGCCATGGACGGGACCCCGGCCTCCCCTGGGCAGCGGCTCTTCCTGCAACAGCTGCTGCTGCTGCTGCTGCTGCTGCTGCTGCTGCTGCTGCTGCTGGAGGTGGATCTTGGCCATCTTGGCGGCGAACACCCTGCGAGTCTCCTCGAACTCAGGGTTGTTGCCCGCGCCCCTGTCCACGCGGAAAAGGCCGTCCTTGGAGGCCTCGTACATGTTCAGGTCCTCGATAAACTTGCTGGCCTCCAGGCCCAGGTCGTCGTACTTGTCCATGCCGTCGGCGCGCAGGTGTCCCGGCTGGGCAGCGGTTCCGGGCGCTGGGGGAGGAGCGGCGGCGGCGGCGGCGGCGGGCGCAGGAGCAGGCGGAGGGAGGAAGCCGGCGAGCGGCGCTGGCGTCCGGCC